TTACGGATGATCCGACGCACCTTCTCCCGTATTACTCGCATGAACTTCCAAATACTCTATGGGGCCTACGTCAGAACGCTCCTGGTGTACGCCAACCAAGTTTTCTACTCAGGACGCACGAAAGACGTCACCCTCATTGAGCGTGTCCAGCTAACCGTTACGGAAAATGTTGCCGGCCTCAAATCCGTGAGCTAAGAAACGCGTCTCGCGATGCTTGATCTCGTTCCCCTCCGAGGGGACCTAATTCTTACTTATGCTCTGTTTGAACAAATCTTGGCAAACAGGTTTTTCACTGTTGACCCAGCAAATACACGGCGGGGACATAGTAAGAACACTTTCAAGCTCAGAGCACACACATTCATTAGACGAAATTTTTTCTCATTTCGGGTAGTAGCTGCGTGGAATGACCTTCCTCCGTCGGTTGTCCACGCTCCTTCTAGAACCCAGTGTAAAGCACTATTAGGCAGTTATTTATGCGAATCCACGCGCCGGTAAGCATACTGCCCCGGGCTGGGAACATAAAGAGCAGTGCTACACCCTTTTTTCACTTGTGCCTTTCAGGCGAACGACAGCCAATGACCGACCGGGAGTGAGTGAGTGTTTAACCAATCAGGATCGAGTTGGGCTATTGGCCGTTGCAGCCCGATACTTTGAGCCTGACACACGGGACGTGGTCGCCCAATACGGAATCCGTGAGTGTTTAACCAATCAGGATCGAGTTGGGCTATTGGCCGTTGCAGCCCGATACTTTGAGCCTGACACACGGGACGTGGTACCCCGCCCAATACCGACAAATAAGAGCGCTTTCGATTGTTCTGTGACGAAAAACAGCATAGGTGTTACGGTCTTGTAATGTGCACGCTATAGAAGCACCAGGGGACAGTGATTCTCCGAAGGCAGGTGTTCACGACAATTTCTGTGGATGGAGAACAGAAATAAAGCTCATGAGCCCAAGCTCAGTAAGCAAGCTTGTACACCACCAATACTTACGTATAAATTAATCAAACTGACAGACACCGTATACTACAGCCTTCGCTGTTTATATGAACGGGTGGAGTTCCATCATCACTGTGAACATTTCGCACCTGCGTTGACTCAGGTCAAAGTGTTTAGACTCAACAGGTTGACACGCCTACTAGATACCATGCAGGTCAACTGCTTTACCTACCGGGTCTAATTGTCAGAAGTGACAGGTATTCCGTCGGTCAAGTGATGAATAAGACTCCTCTGGTATATAGCGCCCATTGCGTGCTGACTTTGTCGCATGACTTCGTCTTGCATGGTGAGAACGGAACAGAAGATGCTACAAAGCTATATACCAAAAAGAATGAGCTTGAGATATATCATTTGTTATGGCGCGAACTTACCGACCAGCCTGTCCATTGTTCCCACCCGACCGCGGCAAATCGGCTGCTTCTCTCTAGACAGGAGCAGCCGATTGCCAAAAAGACCATGGCATCTGGCTCTCTTGAAGAATGTCCTTGCTATTCACAAAAATCGACCCAATTGGAATTTGTTGTTCTTTAGATGAGTGTACATTTCCCCCTGTATTACTCATGCCAACATCCATACATTTTTTGGTACCTACGTTAGACCACTGTTTGAATAGCCAAGTTATCTGTTCAGATGCGTGAAATATCCTTTCTCAGACTATTGCCCGCGCTGCATCGAGGACCCAGTTCAAATCACTTTGGTGCCTTTTCATATGGGCAGTAAAATCACTTTAATTCCACTATGTGATAGACGCACCATAACCGTTATCCTGACAAGTCAACCGAAACGAACAGAGGCACCTACTAGTTTTATGTGAAATCATACTTGTCTGTTATCGTATCAGTGCTTGGCACAGGAAACGAAAAATCGGTCTTTGTAAACTTCTAACATAAGTGGGAGCTGAAAGTGTAACTTTTACTAATACTTACACTGCAGTCCCGCTTTTTAGGATGGAAGGAAATCATCGAAACGGATCGTCTAATAGATATCTAAGGAAATAATTATTTCCCAGCGGTTAGAAATTTACTAGGATTGCTGGGTACTTTTTCACTTAAACTTCAAGATAAACGAGAACCACTGAAAGGCAAGAACAAACGCGACCCGTGAAGCTGGGGTGAATGGCTTGACCCGGTGTAGCAGTTAGTGAATCTCTAAATCATGGTTAGCACCACGAGTGATGATTGTGGTGTTCCTGTCCTACTACAGGCCTTGACGATTCGTTGATTCAAATTATATACAGATCATGGTCTGCTTATTGGTCATAGATAACCTCGAGATATCTTAACGTTCAAAGCGTAAAATTACTAACCGGAAGATCTGTGGTTTGTAACCAACCTCTTCATCTTGACTGCTGCTGTATGGGCCTGGGAAACCTGATGCTGCCCAGACCCTCGCGCTTCTTTCGGGTAGCTTGGCAGCTAAGCACCGAACGGGTACTAAACATGCACACTTTTGTTGCTGATACCAACGTTTATAACGAAACCATTTTGTTACTAGGTATCCCGTGAACCATAGGCATGGCCCTTAGACTAAAGAAGACTTTGAATTTCAGTTGTAGGTCAAAAGTGTCAGAGGGCCTATCAGTTATCCCACTAAATTGTCAATATTACGCCTAACGGCTCAAACGTTCGTTTTAATGGGAGAACCGTTGTTGTCCTCGCTGACAGTTGGTTCCCGTGGACTTGTTGCAAGACCCAACTGGAACACTACAGGCGTTTCCAATATTGTGCGTTTCTCATAGTTTTGCAGCCTTCCGGACCCATTAATCTTCCGACTCTGTACGTATGCGAAGTTTCGCTTGACGTTTGATGATACATCAAGCTGGAAGCGAAACGGTTTCCAGTAGACTGATACTCGGCTTCGGTACCCTGGTGGTGCACAGCTGCTATCCAGCTCGAAGAAAGCACGAGGGCCAAGACTGTCAGGTTGTTAAGCACAGACAGGAAGAATAGGAACTGAATTCGAACTAAGAACTTCCAGTCATTAGACTCGTGCCCTAACCTCAGAGTTATCTTGAGCTCGTTCTCCAGCTAAGCTATGGCTTCACTAGAGATGCCTGGATGAGGCCGGATGGTTTTCATCGTAGCAGTAATTCTTATCATGGCCAGAGTTGTTTGCAGCGCGTAAGCTAATAGTGGGTCAAGAATCAGGTTCGCTAGTGCGGAGGATGAAACTTATCAGACTGGGGTTATTCGGACATACACTGCTCATCCATAGCCATCACCCCCAAAAAAAAGACTATTTTGTTCCAATCCCTTGCTATCGAAAGTTTCGTAATGCGAGATGCCCCAGGTGGTTAGAGCGCGAATTTACTGACCGGAACGTCCGTGGTTCGAACCCGACCTACGCTTCTCAACTTCCCCTGTCTGGGCTTGGGCAACCTGGCAGTATCCCAGCCCTCGTGCAGTCTTCGGATGGCATGGCAGTTAGGCACCGAAAGGGTGCTACAGCTGAACGATTTTATTTTTAATGCCATAGGATGGAATAAATCGTTGTCAAGCTCAGTACCGTGAATTTTCCAGGTTTTGGCGCGGATGACTCTTCTCTTTGGTTAGAGACCCCACAGGAAATTGTACTAGACGACTCCATTTGGTGAACATACTGTCATTTCCTATCCAGAGTGAGTAGTTGAACGCTGTTATTGTATACTGGGTTGTTTCTGGTAGGGTTCTCGGAGGGAGCGTGGGATTTCACTGCGAGATGATGTCAATGTATGTTTTGGGGGCCTTGTCGTCGTCTGTTTTATCTTGAAATATGAGCTCAGTGGTAAGGATGGAATTTACTGTATGGGACACTTTCTGGTCGGAAGTTGTTATCACCGTCGACAGCGTAACATCAGTGTTCCACAGTTATGCTTCGCTGCCGCATAGAGTGTGGGTATTTTGAATCCAACCTCATCACCTCGACTACTGTCTGTGCTTAGCCTGACGGTATCTCGGCCCTCATGATTCTTTCGGGTAACATGCCTGCTTGGCACCGAAAGATTGTTATAGCCGAACTATTAGCAATATTATTGCCATTATTGTTCAATTAGTAAGTCACCACTCCTCACCTTTTTGCTGTTCATGACAGCTAAGCGGCAGTGGTTAATCATCATGATTGACAGTAATAATCTCGTGATACATAATGGCGACTGACTGCAGCAGTGGTTTTCACTGATGCACAACTCTTGTTGGTGTTCGTGATCATACTTGTAATGTTCGGTACAGTATGTGATTCTGGAGATCCTGTTATATGGAAAGTTGACATCTACAATCCAGCCAACTCTCAAGCTTAAGTGTGACAACACAACATATAGGTACAAACCTCAAATGCTACTCTGCCGCCTTAGTCTAGTCAACACCCGTCAGTTCCTTTTCCTCTCAATGGAACATCCTACTGGTATTTTTTTATAAGTACCCGCTAGGCTGCATCGTTTTAGCAGTAGACGATAACCTGGCATACAGATGGTTACAAACACTTTCGTCGCATTAGGTGGAAACGGTGATTTGCAGTTTCTGGTTTAATAATGTCGTTTGTCGTCATCCTAAACCTCAACAAATCATCACTATCACCATATGGACTTCCACATACCAGTAAGAATTACTCTTGGGGGCGAGATGGCTCAAGTGGTTGTAGCACGAATTTACTGACCGGAAGATCCGTGTTTCAGATCCGACTTCTGCCTCTTATCTTCACCTGTCTAGGCTTGGGCAAACTGGCAGTATCCCAGCCCCTGTGCTTTCTTCTGGTGGCATGGCAGCTACGCACCAGAAGGATGTTACACCTGAACAAAGTAGTACTCTTACCTAGGCGCCATATCACCGCCCTGTCAAAGCGTGTGCGTAAAAGGGTTCGGATGCAGTTAGAAAAACTCCAGTTCTAATGGACAATATTCATGGGCAAGGTACGCAGGCATCGTTATGTTACACGGCCCTTCATGGCTTTAAGTACACTTAGGTGATCCACTTCGCACTCCATGTTTCAGTGGTTTGAAGGTCCTGTGTTTCGGTATGCGGGTTTTGGTGGGCTAACAGCTTTCCCCGACGAATCGCACTGGATTGCGTTGGTGTTTTTTCCGCGTTGCTTCACGCCATACGTCTTACCGTCTTTTATTTTTCTCCAGCCTGTTGACTTCATGTCATTTTTTCCAAGGATGGTTTCGTGTTCACGAAACTGGTATCGCTCTTCCAGCTTGCTGTTCAAGTGCGCAAAAAATGTTCATTCACAAATCTGTATCCCAGCATACCTGATGGACAGAACCAAGCCCGCGGAGGAAATTCTGAGGAGTTTAACACCTGAGGATTCGGCTCGTCTTGAGGTGATTCTCGCTGAGTACCAACTGATGGCCGATAAAGGTTGGGATGTTCCTGCTGTACTCCGGCCACTTCATAAATTGGACCTACTTTGTTGCACCTCTCATTCCGCTCGTATGAGGCACTACGAATTTTTATTCAAAAAGGAGAAGATGCATGAGAATAAAATTGCAAAGAAACTAGCGAAAGTGTGTCTCTTTTCTATATTTTGCGCTCCTCAGGCATCTCTCAGCTAGTGGACTGCATCGTGGCAGTTCATCGTTAAGTTATTTCCTTTATTTTCATTCTCCCCTATCCCCTATCGCTGATAACACAAGTGAATTTATCAGCATTTACGGGCTTTGTAGAATACTGCCCACTTCGGTTACTAATCCACCATAATCAAACCACAATAACGTAACGAAGTTAATTTAGAATAAGTTTGGTGGTTTCAGATGAAGTGCCTTTTGCACGAATGGATGTAGTCCACGAGTTAGGACCGGAAGATCTGTAGTCACACGCTACTTTTGTATAGGCCTTGGCAACGTGACAGTTCCTCAGCCTTTCTACCCAACTCGGTTGGCCTGACAGGTATAGACCAACAATTGGCATAACTAAACGATGTGCCTCGACGTTTCGTTCAAAGTTCGTGGTTGTTGGTTGGGTCCCAACTTTCACCGTGTTGTATTTCGTTTCGTTTGAGTTGTTTCGTGCTCACGTTCTGGAGCTTTCAGTGCACAGTCGGAAGTTCGGCTAAAGCAGGCTAAATTCCGCTTGGTTCACCCTACTTCCCTTCGCTATCCCAGGCGCACTACTTTCCATAAATGACCACTTCTCCGGTCGTTGATGGTATCCGACACATAGAACTTACTCATAGTTCCACTTGGAACTCCATGTCTCCTACTGAGGGTTCGTCCTCATCGTGGGCGTGTTCATCTACTTTTGTTTAACCACATAGCACTCTGCCAGTATCTTGGAATGTAGTTTTGAAAAACTACGGCTGATGCAACTACTTTTGGTGTTCTCTTCAGCCCATCAGAGTATATAGCCTACTTAGTTTCATTTTTCGGCCATAAACCAGGTAACAAGGGGACATTAGTTCCAGCTCAGTTTCTATCACCGGAAAGTTGAAGAGCGTGGGAGATACAGCCAAGCTTTGGAGGCGATGGCATGTTGAATTAGTTCGAAAACTGAGTAGCTATTCGTTGAAGGCGATAGCTTCGATGGACAAGCGCCGCCAACTGTGCGACTGAGACATTTTTGCCTGTATCATTAACGATCCGTGAGTTGGGTCCCAAAGTCTCCGTTAAGGGAGACCTCAGTTGTCCACCCGGCACAGTTTATTGGTTAGTGTTTTCACACTTCATTTCCAGGACATAGACTGTACACCACCAAGTCGTTTCCACAGCACGTGGATGGACGAAAAGAACTCTATGAGGCCGATGGTCTTCTGCCATACGAAGTACATGTCCTTACTAACGTAACCTATGAAACGTGAGTAACTCGTGTGTCTTTAAAAAGCTCCTCCTTCCTAAAACCTCGGCATTGTCATTCGTACCAGATCCGACCAAAAATGGTAACTTCCATATGATCTCTGCGCGTAGATGCTGCGCTTTTGATCCGCAAAGCAATGTAGATCGCACTATCGCAGTGTAAAATGCCCGTGACAGACAAACTGACGTCACTTCAGCGCCATAGGTATCGGAAATTGGCAAGAGCTGCCCCTGGCCTTCTCGATTCGAGAATCAGTCTCATCCTCAGCGAATCCATCGGAATTCTTATAACTACCCAGGTAAACAAATTTCTCTGTCACATCGTTTGGCTCGTCTGCAAGCATGAGGTTTGGGTTTGATCCCATCCAGTCTTGCAGCATAACTTTGCAGGTGTAATGCTCACGCCCTACCGTGTGGCAGCGTTTTTTAGGTTATTTAGATTGGTTCGCATTTTAAATACCGCCCACGCGCTCAATCTATGTTCGTGTGACGTTCGACTAACTATTCTTGCTGTTAGTGTTATCACTGTTTCTTCATTTTGGCAATATTTTATTGTTCTTCAGCCTCCTAGGGAAAATTTGAGTACTGCACCTGCTTCAGATGACCGCATCATGCGCATGATTGGCCCGAAATGCATCCGCCTCCATCAGGAGGATTGGATGTGGGCAGAGATTCGCTGCCCGGATTCAGCACAACAACTGGTTTTCGACTTCTCTCATGAGTCCGAGATGCGCTTACAAGACCAGAAGAACTTGGCCGCTCAGTTTCTTTACGTGATGCGAACTGCACGGTTGATGAGACCCTATCCGTTCCATTTAAATTTATGTGGGTTGCTTCCTGGGACCAACCAGTACGCATTTATGGAACAGGCCTTCGGTATAGAAGCGCTGGTGGGTTGCTCAAATTTGTCATGTCTTGGTATGGTGTGGGACCCTACACTCTCAATCTTTATCGAATTAATCCTCCTTGTGGCGTAAAGTTTACTCTTGGCAGTTTTAATCCACCAATTTAGTTTCCCCCAACATTTTCTCATCTGTGTCTTTCTGAAATAGCCAAGTGGTCGGCGACCTTCTACGCTTTTTGTTGATCGTTCATTCTTTTTAAGTTAACAACTCCCGTTAATTCATTCTTTTTCGGCTGAACTTATTGTAGTACTTAGCCGTGGACGGCGAATGCTGACATGGGACTTTTTCAAATTCTGTGAATCTCCAGTTTTGCACCCGTGTTTTCATTATTATTTAAACCCTCATATTATTTCATCACTTAGGTTGTACATTTGAACATTTTAAAAAGATCGCTCAGCTGTAGCACCTTTTCGGTACTTAACCGCTATGCCACCAGAAGGAAGCACGAGGGCTTGGATATTACCAGGCTGCCCAAGCCTATATAGGGTAAGTCGACAGGCTGAGATCGGGTTTGAACCACGGACCTCCCAGTCAGTAAATTCGCGCTCTAACCACTGAGCCAGCTCGCCCACATTCGGGCGTGCGACTTGCTCAACACTATCGTATGGTACGTTTAGCTTGTGTCGTGTTACGGATTGATGGGGGAGGATAAAATACCAGTATCCTTTGTGGACAGCAACTGAATGGCCAAATGACACTGATTATTTAGTTGGTTCCGTACAACTGGTTTTATATCCAGTCGACGTATGCCTTGATGTCGTCTACATAGCAATGTGTGTTCGTCTTTGCAAGAGGTCGCATCGTCGGTTCTATTCAAAAGTAGAAGATTCCGAAGATAGCCAATCTCCCTAATCCTTCTTAACTGTGTTCTTGTCAGTATTCAGACGAACTTTAAATGCAAAAGGGCTTTTCAGCTCCTTTTATTATCAGCGGATATAGTCACAGTTCCATACAATCAAGACTACCAGCGCTGAAGAAACTCGAAGCTGGCGATGAAGCACGTATATCACTTGCCTTACATTTTTCTGGTAACTTCGATGGCTGTATCGACAATGATAGTACTTTTTCCGGTTGATAAACTGTTCCGTTTGTGCTTCATGGGGATTGATAGAACACAAACTCCGATGCTTAGGTGACTTCAGTATTCGCGCATATTCCTCAGGTACCATAAGGCGCTGATCCCCTTGCGACGATGGTTTAATGTTTGTCGAAGGTAACTTAATCGGCACAAATGCAACCTGTGTGGAAAATGGCCCACTCCTCGCTTGTTAATTCCCCCTTCTGTGGTTAAGGTGTTGAAGAGAATGAATACTTGAATTCTAGCCGCCATTTAAATGTCGTTTAAGTTATTTTAGTTGCTACAAGCTGTATGTGGTAACTTTTTGAATTTGAGCGAAACAACCTACTATCATTTTGAAAGTGTTCAGGGACTTTTGGAAATTATATACAGAGATTACAGCAAGACATAGTAAGTAATGAAGTGGGAAAACCTGTTAGATTTTGTTGGCAGTCATCAGCCATGAGCGCATGTTAGATCGACGTGTGGGTTGTCATGTTACCTTACTGAAAGTTTCAACTGCCAAGGCACATCCACTTGGTATCCCACCGAGCCGTCCTGTCGATGTAGGATTCGAGTTCTTCGCATAGGCAGACAGTCTCCTGGCCGCTCAGGCTACAGTTTGGGCCAAACTTTTGAGCCCTGTCCTGGTCACGACTGGTTTTACGCTATTAATTCAACCTAACCTGTCAGAACAATGAATTACAATTTGGGAAGCACGTTTTTACATTTGGGTTGGCACAGAATCCGCTTTCTTCGACTGTAGCACTTCTAATGTACCTTTCTGTTCTATCCTTAATCTCCAGGGCTCAACCGTGAAGAATTTAACGGACATACCATGGACAGTATCTCCAAATCACTATACGGTCGACTTTCCTCTGAACGACCCTAATAAGCCTGTTATATACCTCAGTCCAAACGCACCGCGATGTTTTGAACCCGGCGAGTGGGATCACACTGCGGTCTATGTTATTGGTGCTGTAGTTGATAAGTCCATAAGGCGCCCAGTTACGTTAGCCAAAGCACGCCGTGCCGGTAAGTCACTTTTCTTTCAAACTTTTTACATAGAATGCGTAGCACTGCTGGGGATGTCATGATAGGAACTATGTCTACTTATTTTTGGACGATTTATTTGAAGAACGATACCAAGAGACTAAAGAGCTCGGTGCTTCACGGATGAAATCATATCAGCCTGAATTCTTCCTGACGGTTCCAACCAGCGAAGCTTTGTTATTTGTTAAGGACGATACCCGTTTCTCATCATGCATAACTGTTCCTTAGTTAATTCTTACCGTGTTATGGAAGAGCAGAGAAGTCGTTATGTCCAGCTCCTTCAGGACGTTTTCGGCATGTTAAGTCGCCAGTCTGACTGCTCAGAGACCCCTCGCATCTCGTACTCAAATGAACAAAAGCATTGCACTAGTAAGCTGTCTGGACAAATTAGACCATTTATATACACCTTTCCAATTGTATTTTAAAGCATTGTTCATGCCCTTTCAGTCTAAACCTTTATGTTTAAGTATTCCCCCTCACTTTCAGGTGTCCAGTGCATTCGACTTCCCCTGGAACGATACTTCAACTGGAGTCCTGGCAGTGGTAAATGTCTTACACTCAACTGTATTTATGACATCATGGCCACTGCAAAATCCACCAACGGTGACTGGGAGACGGCATTGCGTTCGCATGTACCGAGGCGCCTTTACGTAGAAACCAACACGTACTCCCGCCAAGTAAAGAAACTGTTGACCAAAATATAGTTCTGCACAGAGAATGAGCTCGTCTCACGGACATTCAGGTCTTAGTCATATGACGACCCTATTTTGGTCAAAAGGTTTTTGAACCGCAAACACCACCTATCTATGTAAAGGCGCAATCTGATGTCAAAGAATGCGTGTAATACGTTATTTTCCGATACATACTTTTTTGACAGCTGATCCTCTTTATTGTGGTTTTACTTACGGTCAACGGTCACCTACATAAATTAACCCGTAACTAACCCAGTCCATATGGGTTCGACCATTATGTCTAGATGATTAAAAAGTCACCGTATTTCAGTTAAAATGAATCTAATGGGTGGTATGGCTCGTCTTGTTATTTGTACGTTCTTTTAAGTATTCTCACTCCATTGCACCTTCAAAATCCGAGCATTTCTTTCATGTTTCAGATAATTCAACTCGGGCGACGCATTTTCGTAGGTGTGCACTTGTGTTTGGCGCAAACATCATCGCATGAGAAACACTGGACGTCGCTGTCTCCTTGAATTTGTGTGGCAGGCAAGTGGGAATCATGACCTCATTCCCATTAACCCTCGGGTACGACATCAGACGGGTGCAACGGCCAGGCGGTGAGGAGTGCGCAGTACATCCGGTCGTCATATGGATGCGGTATGAACAGACCAGTTGAGCTGGAACAGGGGGGTGCTGACTTACGGGGGAGCGCGCTCACACCAACATAGTTAGCGAAACCGATGCGAGCTTGCCAACCAGACTATCGATCTTTATCAGTAATCTCCATGCTTAGTCAGGACTGGATAGCAAACTGCCACCTCCTGTGGCATTAGTGGGAAGGAAATTTCTCCCTTAAACTATGAAAGTTTTCACGTAACATGAGTCTAAGAACCCTACCGATTGTGGTTTCACGAGGGAATTTTGGTCGAACAGCGGCATTATTAAGTGATAAACTTAGACGAGGTATTTCAGGCTCATTCAAAATATTCTAAATGCGGTTTGCTAACTTCAAGTGTAATAACTAACGCTCAAAGTTCGCGTAATTTGCTAAACAGGTGGAAGAGTGGGCTATGTATGTAGTTAGCCAGTTCCAGAACTAACTAAACATGCCATCGCCTCTAACGCTTGGCTGTATCTCCCACTCCAATATCCTGGTGGCTGAAACTAATAGCTGGAACCAATGCACCCTTGGTACGTGGTTTGTAGCTGATAAGCTGGATTGAATCTATCTTAAGCCCCGTTAAGGACTTTTGTGGCAACATATACCGAGCACCTGGCCAAAAAGGAAGATATGAGTTTTCGACTGACCAAATGTAGCCTTTCTCGATCTGTCCGAAGGCGAGGATTTCCATTTTGCGGTGTTGCTGTTAAAAGCGCTCTAATAGCGGTTTACATCAGGTATATTGGGCAAAATTACATTCACCGAAGCATGCCAAATATAGGTTTTAACAACTAGACCCGTTTCCACTTTTTTGGACCCAAGTAAAACTTCCAGGATTATTAGTGATCAAAGGGACATGAGGCTTGTCAGTGTGTTTGTTGTTCTTCAACTAGCCTCAGGGGACATTAATGAAGAGTGATCTAAGCAAGGATGATAGGCTAACAATGTTCTTTTCGCTGCAGATGGCCACTCACAAAAGCAGAATGTCGGTGGTAGCCCGGAGTTCAAGTTCTCTGCGTACTATTACCCTTCTGTCAGCCATTATATTGTATATTCAGGTATAGTGGCCATGGCTGTTGCAGTTCCGGTCACTGTAAACAAGGTTATTGAGGGAATAATATGCACGTATCTCGCCGATGGACGCAACAATACGTCCGTGTCCGCTTACCACCAATTAATCATTCCACCGCTTCCAGCTCATCCCGTCGGTTTATATTAAATCCATGGGATGATCGAATGTACCATGCGCTCCTCATCACCTGGCCCAGTTGCACCGGTCTGATGTCGGGTCGTGATTTCCACTTGCCTGTCACACACAAATTCAAGGAGACAGCGAAGTCCATTCGGTGTTGTTTGCGTCAAACACAAGTGCGCACAGGTGCATATTCTTTGGAACATGCGTCGCCCGAGTTGAATTTTCTGAAATATGACAGAAATGCCCGGGTTTTGGAGTTGCAGCGGGCCGTATCATGAATACATGACCAAGAACGTTCAGAACTGGAGGGTCGCTCATGGGTTATGACAGTTTTAAATGGAGGAGTAATGTGTGCGCTGTGTTACACGTAGGTCCAATGCCATATTCATCATGAGTGAATTGTGGTGTACGCAGAAAGCCAAGGAAATGGAGGAGGCTTAGAAAGTCGGAAGTGCCCGAAGATTTTCATAAAGAAAACTACTCAAAAGGTTGCTGAAAACTCTTCGACAGCCCACGACCGATTCGCCCTTTTGGGGGCTCATTAAGTAGGCGCAGCCCGAAGACTACCATAGTTAATCCGCGCGACCGGTCCCAGGAAACCTCTTGTTGGCGAAACCATCAGGGATCAGAAGAGAGTGACCATCTTGAACATAGAAGACCGCCTCGACTGGTAGGCCGAATATTTCGAGCAATTATCGTGACCGCCAGGTGTCACTCATTTGGTGTCCACAGTTGACGGTGACTGTGGGACCCTCTACTGCCTCGAAGATTTACGACTGCATATATTCTCTCAAACGCCACCGATTTTCTGGTCCGGATGACTCCCCACTCGTATTGTTCAAAGACGGGAGTGAAATCCTCAGTCAGCGCTTGTATGATCCACTTGCCTGTCCCAGACCACTAGGGGAAGTTGGTCATAGTGCCCATTTCGGAATAGGGGGATCAGCTTAACCCCGGTTGTAACGAGATTGCTGGCGTCCCTTGTGCTTCATCGCCTTATGTTTGCTCGTGAAATATTGAATCGAGAGGAGCAAGCGGGATTCCGGCCAGGTAGGGGTTGGGTTGACCAAGTTTTAACAACGCCATACGTAAAAACAAATCACAATTTTAGTATTTCTGGATTTCGAAGGCGCATTCGACTCGGTTGACCGGTCTGTGCTCCTTGAGAATCTTGCCCATCGAGGAATGTCCCGAATGTTTGTGAATACAATACGCTCTTTGCATTCTCAGACTCCCGGACGTGTGAGAGTATGTGGAGAGCTCTCCAAGAGCTTCCGTACACAAAGCAATGTCCGTCAGGGATGGTCATTCCACTCTTGTTTAATTTCGTGGTCGATGAGTTAATAAGGCGAACGCTGGAAGGTCTTCATAACTCTGATGTTCTAATAGCCTCTGGTGAAAACCTTGTCAATCTGGAATATGCAGACGATATCCTTTTCGTCATCGAAGAGGCGGAGATGTTTTTGGATAAACTGACCAAAGTCATCCCTTGGTACGCACTTCGCACCCACAGGGTGACCGGACACACCACTCACATTCCAGGAGTAGGCACTCGAAGTTATGGAACGTACTTTTTAATTTGTGTTGATTCTGATTGTAGTGTGACAGCTAGGGCCAATGCACGAATCTACAACCCTCGGGTTTCGTTTGCTAATTTGAGATACCTATGTTGTCAAAATGGCATATTCCTGAATCTCAAGAAACATGTGTATCAGGCTACAGTGCGGGGTGTTTTGTTGTATGGCTGCGACATTGGCTGTTCGAGCATCAGGACTAAGACAATCGCCTCAGGACCGTTGGTCATGTGACCTGGTGTCGCAGAATCCGTAATGAGGCAGTTAAAAAGCGAGGTTTCGGCTGTACAGCAGGGACTTCCATTGAAGGTTTCCTGCACCAGAAGCTGCGTTGGTTGGGACATGTGTCGCGTATGCCGAACCATCGTTTGCGGAAGATTGCTTTTTTCCGTGCCCAATTCAGAGTGGTGGCCAACCTTTGACCTGGCAGATGGGTATGAAAGATGTCACAAAACGTTTAGGTACCGTCGGTGACACTCGCCTACCAGGATGTGGACCGCGTGATTCCCACTTTACCTGGTTGGAGTCGCTACAATATATGGCTGTCACCCGATGTCGGTGGCGTTATTGTTGTCAGTTTATATCCATATTGCCTGAATGAGTGTCTGGGAATGTGTGCACCTTAGTGTGATTGTAATAAGCTAGTACTGGGTCCCTCTCCCGTCAATTTAAATTTTTTCCTGATTGTACGGTAGTGAGGCATCAGTGTTGAGCACTGATGTCATGCTGTCGATGATGGTGATTCCCACTCGTCACCGGGCAAAAACTACGAACTACGGCTTTACAGGCATCCTAATATAAATGGCTAATTGAATGCAGCGCCAAGCGAAAAAACATTTGCCTGTGTCGTCTTCAAGCAATAAACGGCGTCAGACCGTTGTTCCGTTGCGCCTCGAATATGAAAACAGATTAGTAGTTTGTTTCTTTGGGACATGAGAATAGTCACACAATGATCCAAGATGTTGATTAAAGGATCTGATGTTATTGTCATCTAATACGAGGCGGATCAGCCATAACTCTGCAAACTAACGGACTGAAGCTTTTTCGGGCGACGTGTCTCATGAAAGGCTTTCGTTTAGTTTACATGTATGCGGTATGGCCCGGATAGTCATACTGATGGTAAGAAGTCTGTAGTGAAAACTGAGTCTGTAGATCAGAAAATACTAGGGAGTACCATTGAAACTAATAGTCCAGTGTTTTAGATTAAGTGATTGAGTGCAGCACCAACAGTTGTCAAGCAACACCATTTCCTATCATCCCACAATTAGAGTGGGGTGATTTGGAGGTGATACCTGTCAGCGCACCCAAGCCCGGTTGCAATTCTTACATTCCGTCTCTGGTTTAGTGTGAACTCTCTTCAAAAAGATAAAATGATATGACAGTCGATCAACTGACACATGAATGGCCTGAATGAGTTGGTGCTACCAATCAAGAGAATGACCCATAAAAGAGTACTGGAGGTTCTCGTCATTGTCCCCGTACTACTCGTGAATAAACAAACAGTGCACTTAATTCTAGGGGTCGTTCTATTGTCTGAATCATTAAAATCCCGGTGTTTTTACAACACATCCGCAATTCTTCCAATTTACATAGTCCTTTGGAAGTGTACGTTTCTTAAATTCTCCGTACAGCGTTTAAATATCACTGGATGTACCGCAGTTTCATAGGTCCTATCCTTCATCGACATTTATGTCACACTGGCCGCAAGAATGCCCAAGTTGGTCATCTAATCATACCTAAGTAGCAACGCTACCGATACGAATGATGTAGCTATCTCGAGTTCCACCGGAATTTTTTGTTTTGCCCACGCTGTTTTACAACTAAAGCACGCACCCAATCGCACGGTGGCATTTCGATATTCCAATGGATACTGAAGCAAATTGTGCGGCATCATGTGCTAATTCTAGGCCTTGAAAGTCCCCACTTCTCATCGGCACTATCTTCGGCATAAGTAACAACAACATCAGAATCGACATTGACGTTTTAATGTCGTACAGTAAATACTCGAAGGGTCCTTCAGATGGGCATTAGAGTACAAAGCCGAACACCAATTTCGGTGAAAAACTCATATAACATATTCTCCGACACCTAACTGACCACCCTCTTTTGTGATCTGCTGTAATCACCTCGAGCTCCATTGCTCCAGAGTTCCAAACACCAGATGATCTTTACATAAAGTGCATTGTCGCATACGGAAGATCGGACAGCGCCTATCTTTTTGTGACTATGGGACACCTAAGATCTATCCCAGTCCAACACATTCGTTAGTTTGGGAGGATCTAAACCACTGTCACTCGGATGACGGCACCATTGGTAACACGGTTAACAGCCACCTGCCAGCTTTCAAGCAATACCGAAATGAATTGTGGAATCGTGGCCGTCCTGCATGCAGCCTTCCAGCTGGCGTCCTAGATAACTCAGCGGTATTGTGTAAAGTTATGGGAAAGTGGTAGCTGGATGTTGAAAGAAAGTCTCATGCGGAACAAACTTCCCAGCAAAATTTAGCACAATCTGGTCAAAGGGAAATTTGAACAAACCGACCACAGTGAATGCTGACGACGCCAATTAAACGGACAACCATTCCAGCGTGAGGTGAATACTAGTTTGGCCTGGCCACAAAGTCGAGTACACTGAAGAAAAGGCAAACAAAACGATATCAGAACTGCAGCATCTCATAGCGGCTTTCAGTATTTGCGGTCCGTTCATTGCTACTCGCCAGAATTGTGCTGTTGAAGTGCGCCATTTCAACTTCCCTTATAACGGCGAATCAAGAGGCAACGCTTGAAACGGTATCATGACCCGCCCTTCGGCCACAGGCTATAAAGTCTTGGCACACTTCACAATAGAGTTCACAACGACCTAATACCGACTCCCGCTTTCAGAGTGCTTAGACCTTACCTGAATTAAGATACACTCAATGGAGATAGTTTTACAAAGGCCTAGGGAGGCAATCTCAAACTAGATAATCTTTCAGGCAGTTTCACTCAATAGAGAACACAATACAGACAACAATATCGAGATCCTATAGGGCCTTGTGGCGGAGGATTATGATCATTTCGGCAACCAGATTTTCATGTTGCATGTTTGTCTCGCTGTTCCTTATGCATCCTGACGTCCACTCAAACTTCTCCCCACTTCATTGTGTTATGCAATGCAATCGAGTTGCTTCTTTATCTTGCCTAACTAGGATCCTATGTGTTTGCTTGCTCTTAGTTCCCCTCAACACAGTCGACTTCCATTCACGCGTTTAGTGAGCACGGATTTTGAACTAACGCACGGTGACCAAACGGTCTTGTTTCTCTGCTGAGTCAATCTCTAGTCAAACTTCATTTATCCCTGGCTTTCTGTAGTTGTTTTCCAAATGAATTAGAAATAGTTTAATCCACGTACATTTTCTAACGATATTTTACGCTATGTATGTTTATCTGGATTTGCCACAATCAAGTCTTTTTCGGTTAACTGGATCGGAGCACCGTCGTCGCATACTAATGGGGAGACCAATTTGAGCATATACCTATTGCACCGGAGTGGTCACTGTTTTTCGGCACGTATCTTCTTGAAATCCAAATCGTCGTCCGTAGTGGTAATGATGCCAAAACCCAAAGAAAGTGACCATTTTGGTGTCCTGAGGAAGCAGGATAAATGACAGTCCTGTCCACCAGCTTCGAGGAAACAACCTATGTTTTCCGTGTTATCCGTGAAAGCACCTACCATCTCTGGCAAGAGTTGTTAAGCCCGAAATGTGTCTTCAGGTCTTACGGTTTCGAAATACCTGATACGTATGGGCCGGATGTAATACGCTTAATATCCATAATGGGGGCAACAAAAGTCGCGTGTTATTTCGGTTCGTTTTGGCACATTTTCCATTAAACATCCAGGTGTATGACAAAGTCTCATTAGATAAACACAAGCTAGAATACATTTTGACAAGGGTTTATTCGCTGGGGAAAGTCGTAAGTATTTTGTGCTTCACTAGAACGTGCAAATGGTGCGGTTTCATTATTGGTTTTCCTGGAGTAAAAAGGAGTAAGGACCGTTTTTTATATTTACCCATCCTATTACCATCTGATCCATGCTTGAGATCATTTTAACGTCATGGCGTTCATAACCGAATGCTGTGAGAAGATAAAACTTACTGTTTTTCAGCACTGTATAAAGGAATCCAGTCCCTTGAGTTTGTTCCCCCCCAATATTTTATCCAAATGACAAATAATTATATAAACGTACGGCGTTCATATGTATAATTTTCAAGAAATCAAGCAGCACCGATGAACAACAATCAGGTATCCTTGATGTTTTGGGTTCTATCCTCTCGGAGGAGCAATGAATTCAGCTTTCCTACTGTGCTCTTGCATGTCTCGATTTCTCCTATCAACCCATCAATACGTTCGAGTGTAGATAGCAGTTCCATCAAAGATTCCTGTATGGTATGATCTGTGCTTACTTCCATCTTCTTTCTTGAGGATTCGATCTGGGAAAATAAGGATGTTGTCTTTTTCGTCAGTCGTTTATTGTGGAAAAATTATCTACCTGCTCCAGCACGAAGGTTTTGCAATTTTGCAGATCTTCATTTG